AATAATCCTACATAGAGTTTTCAGTGGCTACGAATCAATTAGATGAGAAAAACAATACTATATGTCTTTTAACAAAGTAGTTTTTATTAGATTTCACCCCAAAGCCAGCCCTGTACGGCCTTGCAAGAAAATTGGAGAACGCTAGAATATTAAGAAAATCATCTTCAATAATCCTACATACAGTTTTCAGTGGCTACGGATAAATTAGATGAGAAAAACAATATTATATGTCTTTTGACAAACTAGATTTCATTGGATTTCACCCCAAAGCCAGCCCTGTACGGCCTTGCAAGAAAATTGGAGAACAGTAAAATATTCAGAAAATGATCTCTAATAATCCTACATACAGTTTTCAGTGGCTACGGATAAATTAGATGAGAAAAACAATATTATATGTCTTTTGACAAACTAGATTTCATTGGGTTTCACCCCTAAGCCAGCCCTGTACGGCCTTGCAAGAAAATTGGAGAACGCTAGAATATTAAGAAAATCATCTCTAATAATCCTACATACAGTTTTCAGTGGCTACGGATCAATTAGATGAGAAAAACAATATTATATGTCTTTTGGCACACTAGATTTTATTGGATTTCACCCCTAAGCCAGCCCTGTACGGCCTTGCAAGAAAATTGGAGAACGCTAGAATATTAAGAAAATCATCTCTAATAATCCTACATACAGTTTTCAGTGGCTACGGATCAATTAGATGAGAAAAACAATATTATATGTCTTTTGACAAACTAGATTTCATTGGATTTCACCCCAAAGCCAGCCCTGTACGGCCTTGCAAGAAAATTGGAGAACGCTAGAATATTAAGAAAATCATCTTCAATAATCCTACATCGAGTTTTCAGTGGCTACGAATCAATTAGATGAGAAAAACAATACTATATGTCTTTTAACAAAGTAGTTTTTATTGGATTTCACCCCTAAGCCAGCCCTATACGGCCTTGCAAGAAAATTGGAGAACAGTAAAATATTCAGAAAATGATCTCTAATAATCCTACATACAGTTTTCAGTGGCTACGGATAAATTAGATGAGAAAAACAATATTTTATGTCCTTTAACAAAGTAGTTTTTATTAGATTTCACCCCAAAGCCAGCCCTGTACGGCCTTGCAAGAAAATTGGAGAACAGTAAAATATTCAGAAAATCATCTCTAATAATCCTACATACAGTTTTCAGTGGCTACGAATCAATTAGATGAGAAAAACAATACTATATGTCTTTTAACAAAGTAGTTTTTATTGGATTTCACCCCTAAGCCAGCCCTATACGGCCTTGCAAGAAAATTGGAGAACATTAAAATATTCAGAAAATCATCTCTAATAATCCTACATACAGTTTTCAGTGGCTACGGATCAATTAGATGAGAAAAACAATATTATATGTCTTTTGGCACACTAGATTTTATTGGATTTCACCCCTAAGCCAGCCCTGTACGGCCTTGCAAGAAAATTGGAGAACAGTAAAATATTCAGAAAATGATCTCTAATAATCCTACATACAGTTTTCAGTGGCTACGGATCAATTAGATGAGAAAAACAATATTATATGTCTTTTGACAAACTAGATTTCATTGGGTTTCACCCCTAAGTCAGCCCTGTACGGCCTTGCAAGAAAATTGGAGAACGCTAGAATATTAAGAAAATCATCTTCAATAATCCTACATAGAGTTTTCAGTGGCTACGAATCAATTAGATGAGAAAAACAATACTATATGTCTTTTAACAAAGTAGTTTTTATTGGATTTCACCCCTAAGCCAGCCCTATACGGCCTTGCAAGAAAATTGGAGAACATTAAAATATTCAGAAAATCATCTCTAATAATCCTACATACAGTTTTCAGTGGCTACGGATCAATTAGATGAGAAAAACAATATTATATGTCTTTTGACAAACTAGATTTCATTGGATTTCACCCCAAAGCCAGCCCTGTACGGCCTTGCAAGAAAATTGGAGAACGCTAGAATATTAAGAAAATCATCTTCAATAATCCTACATCGAGTTTTCAGTGGCTACGAATCAATTAGATGAGAAAAACAATACTATATGTCTTTTAACAAAGTAGTTTTTATTGGATTTCACCCCTAAGCCAGCCCTATACGGCCTTGCAAGAAAATTGGAGAACATTAAAATATTCAGAAAATCATCTCTAATAATCCTACATACAGTTTTCAGTGGCTACGGATCAATTAGATGAGAAAAACAATATTATATGTCTTTTGACAAACTAGATTTCATTGGATTTCACCCCAAAGCCAGCCCTGTACGGCCTTGCAAGAAAATTGGAGAACGCTAGAATATTAAGAAAATCATCTTCAATAATCCTACATACAGTTTTCAGTGGCTACGAATCAATTAGATGAGAAAAACAATACTATATGTCTTTTAACAAAGTAGTTTTTATTGGATTTCACCCCTAAGCCAGCCCTGTACGGCCTTGCAAGAAAATTGGAGAACAGTAAAATATTCAGAAAATGATCTCTAATAATCCTACATACAGTTTTCAGTGGCTACGGATAAATTAGATGAGAAAAACAATATTATATGTCTTTTGACAAACTAGATTTCATTGGGTTTCACCCCTAAGCCAGCCCTGTACGGCCTTGCAAGAAAATTGGAGAACGCTAGAATATTAAGAAAATCATCTTCAATAATCCTACATACAGTTTTCAGTGGCTACGGATAAATTAGATGAGAAAAACAATATTATATGTCTTTTGACAAACTAGATTTCATTGGATTTCACCCCAAAGCCAGCCCTGTACGGCCTTGCAAGAAAATTGGAGAACAGTAAAATATTCAGAAAATGATCTCTAATAATCCTACATACAGTTTTCAGTGGCTACGGATAAATTAGATGAGAAAAACAATATTATATGTCTTTTGACAAACTAGATTTCATTGGGTTTCACCCCTAAGCCAGCCCTGTACGGCCTTGCAAGAAAATTGGAGAACGCTAGAATATTAAGAAAATCATCTTCAATAATCCTACATACAGTTTTCAGTGGCTACGGATCAATTAGATGAGAAAAACAATATTATATGTCTTTTGGCACACTAGATTTTATTGGATTTCACCCCTAAGCCAGCCCTGTACGGCCTTGCAAGAAAATTGGAGAACGCTAGAATATTAAGAAAATCATCTCTAATAATCCTACATACAGTTTTCAGTGGCTACGGATCAATTAGATGAGAAAAACAATATTATATGTCTTTTGACAAACTAGATTTCATTGGATTTCACCCCAAAGCCAGCCCTGTACGGCCTTGCAAGAAAATTGGAGAACGCTAGAATATTAAGAAAATCATCTTCAATAATCCTACATCGAGTTTTCAGTGGCTACGAATCAATTAGATGAGAAAAACAATACTATATGTCTTTTAACAAAGTAGTTTTTATTGGATTTCACCCCTAAGCCAGCCCTATACGGCCTTGCAAGAAAATTGGAGAACATTAAAATATTCAGAAAATCATCTCTAATAATCCTACATACAGTTTTCAGTGGCTACGGATCAATTAGATGAGAAAAACAATATTATATGTCTTTTGGCACACTAGATTTTATTGGATTTCACCCCTAAGCCAGCCCTGTACGGCCTTGCAAGAAAATTGGAGAACAGTAAAATATTCAGAAAATGATCTCTAATAATCCTACATACAGTTTTCAGTGGCTACGGATAAATTAGATGAGAAAAACAATATTTTATGTCCTTTAACAAAGTAGTTTTTATTAGATTTCACCCCAAAGCCAGCCCTGTACGGCCTTGCAAGAAAATTGGAGAACGCTAGAATATTAAGAAAATCATCTTCAATAATCCTACATAGAGTTTTCAGTGGCTACGAATCAATTAGATGAGAAAAACAATACTATATGTCTTTTAACAAAGTAGTTTTTATTAGATTTCACCCCAAAGCCAGCCCTGTACGGCCTTGCAAGAAAATTGGAGAACGCTAGAATATTAAGAAAATCATCTTCAATAATCCTACATACAGTTTTCAGTGGCTACGGATAAATTAGATGAGAAAAACAATATTATATGTCTTTTGACAAACTAGATTTCATTGGGTTTCACCCCTAAGCCAGCCCTGTACGGTCTTGCAAGAAAATTAGAGAACATTAAAATATTCAGAAAATCATCTCTAATAATCCTACATACAGTTTTCAGTGGCTACGGATCAATTAGATGAGAAAAACAATATTATATGTCTTTTGGCACACTAGATTTCATTGGATTTCACCCCTAAGCCAGCCCTGTACGGCCTTGCAAGAAAATTAGAGAACATTAAAATATTCAGAAAATTATCTCTAATAATCCTACATACAGTTTTCAGTGGCTACGGATCAATTAGATGAGAAAAACAATATTATATGTCTTTTGACAAACTAGATTTCATTGGGTTTCACCCCTAAGCCAGCCCCACATACAATTTTCAGTGATTTCGGATTAAATTAATAAGAAAGCACAACTCTATTATAACATTAATTTCAATAGATTACTTACGTCTACCTTGTGTTTAGTACAAAAGAGAATTTCAAAATGCTAAAATATTTATAAAACCATCAGTCTTAATTATACTGTGTGTTATTTTATTTTTTTGTAAAAACATTTCATTTATTGATTGAACTTGTTAATTTAAAAAAAAACGCACGGCACTGGTGATTCGGGTTTTTTTGGCAGATTGGCTGCTAAAAATTGGCTGCCATAATATATATTTAAAAAAAAAACGCACGGCACTGGTGATTCGGGTGTTTCCGGAAGATTGGCTGCTAAACATTGGCTGCCAACTTCACTGCGGTCCTTTTTTCATCAATAAATTTACTACTGCATTGTGACCATTGATAGATGCCAAATGAAGAGCTGTTTGGCCAATAAGAGTTTTTCTTTCCATTTCTGCACCAAATTTTAAAAGAATTTCTATCAAATGGACATCATTATGGTATGAACTTGCGAAATGAAATGGAGTTTTTCGATATCTATCAGTGGCATTTACATTAAATCCATTTTCAAGCAACAGATGAACAATTGCACAGTCACCCTTTTGAGCTGCATAATGAAGAGCTGTTTCGCCAGTAATATTTTTTACATCTTTTTTTGCTCCGTGAAGTAAAAGAGATTCAACAATTTCTCTTTTTCCATTTCGAGCTGCCAAATGCAATTGAGTATCGCCATATCTATCTACAGCATCCAAATCTTTCACACCAAGTAATTGTAATAATTTTTCTAAATCTGCTTCTTTAGTTGTTGCTTCACCATATAATGACGTGTTTCCAGTTGATTCTTCTTCCTTTAAATCAATATCCGTGCACTCATCTAAGGCTCTTGTCAAAGTCGATTCAATGTTCAGTAAATTTTTTCCAACTTCACAAATAACTTCATTATTCGTCGATAATATGTCATTTTGTTTCCACAATTCATTTAATTTCAATGTAAAAATATTCGTCATTTCATTGTCCATCATAGTTTTTTCCAGATGTTTTGAATTTTTCATAATAAACATGATTTTCTTGTTATTCACTTTGATAATGTTTATCCAAGATTCTAAAATGTGAGATTGTTGATCTAATAATAATTGTTCTTCATTATCCAAAATGCAAACTAACAATTCAGGAAAATTTTTCAAAAAATCTTCATTTTGTTCTGCTGTCATTTTAACAAAACTACTGAAATTAGTGAAAATAATTTCATTTAACTTTTCTTTTAAAATGAAATCTGTTTTGAAGTTTATTAAAACTTGGGCTAATAAAACTCTAGTTACATCAACATCTGCAGTTTCTAGACACAATATAGAGCCACCATTTTCTAGTAGAAATCCTTTGATCCCATGTTTTAAAGTAAAATCTGTTGTTTTTAAATTGTAAAGAAAAGCTTGAGAATTTTCTTTCATAATTTGAACACAATCAGCCATTTTGAATATTCACTTTCAACTTCGAAAAAATTAACTAAGACAACTTTAAACTTTATTTTACTTTTTGTAAATTGAAATGCGTTTTATGTTATTTGCCACCCAAAAAAATTGAACTTTTTAACGTGACGCGTGGCCAACGTGCTACAAGCTGCAAGTACAACAGTCAAGTCAACAATAGAAATAAACATTAAGCCGGGCTCAAACGACTCGTGTACTTGGCAAATAATCGTTACTTGCGTATACTTGCCATGTCGTGTGAGTGGGTTACTTATACAATTATTTGTCACTCGTTGGTTTTCCATTTCTTGTCGGTAAAAATGTCCCGAGTCAAAGGGATCACGATTATTCGTACACTTGCCAAGTTCATACTTGTCTATACTTGTAGAGGCGCTCAAACGCAATGCACAAATAATTGGCTTTTACTACGACTATTTCATCTAGTTTCAAGGTTTAGCCAAATGTTCGCGCTCGCGTACTTGTAAATTGAACACATCGTGTGAGCGCCCTGCTTGCCATCCCAATTCGCAAAGCTCGTATACTTGCCAACTACGCGAATAATTGTGTATTCGCCAAGTACACGAGTCGTCTAAGCCCGGCTTTAGACGACAAAGACAAATAATGAAAACCGATTGACAATGACAATTGACAACGGCGCCTAGAAATTTAACATCTGTCATCAAAATGATATTCTTTAAAATAGAATTCTATTTATCGGGATTGGAAACCAAAAAATTTGGAATTGCTTGATTTTAAAGGAAAAAAATATATCAACAATAAAGCCGGCTTCTCATGAGCGTAAAATTGGCATAACTGACGGAAGGAAATGCTGAAAACTTTAATTTTGGCGCAACATTCACATGGAATGGAGAATCAACGCCGCCGCGTATGTCAAAATTATATATTTTTTTTTCTTATTTTGAAATATTTCTTTGAATTTTAATTGTACCCGGACCAGAACGATATTGGACCGAAAACCGGAACGAAACCGTTTTTTTTTGGGGACCGGAACTGATATAATTTAATCGGTTCTTACCGGTATTTTTCGGTTCCAAGATTTTATAAATTAAGCTGTTTGCTGTTTGGTTCTATCATATTAAAATTAACACTTTAAAAAACAGAGCGTTGGACATTGGACAGTGCGCATTTCTGAATTCGGCTGGGCTACACCAACACCAAGAGTTCTTTTCACGTGGCTCCGGTTTAACTAACCGGGTTACAAAACGGTTAGAGAAATGACATACCGTTTTCTAACCCGGTTACAAAGTGAAGTGATGGATACCTACCACTCGAATTTGAACGGTATGTTACGGTTTGTTGAACCGGAGCCACGTGAAAAGGGTTAAGGATTTTACATACTACTACAGGATTGTTTGGAGTCAAATTCTCGTTAGCGGTTTGCGTTCGTAGTTAAGAATATACATGTATGATGAAAAATATAAATTAAATTTGATTAACATATTTGATTATAATAGTCAATAGACAAGAGGAAGATGCAAATAAAATCTAAACAAGGGTTGCTTTAGAATATTAAATAATGTGCTATGGTTCTAAACCGTTTCGGAATACAATCCAATCCACGTTTTAAAACTATTTCCTCATGCCGAGAAATTATGACGTCATTGTGACACTGATTTAAACCAGAAGCGTTTTCTCGCGTCCACTTTTTTGAAACTGGTTCAAAACTGTTTTGAAACAGTACATTCTCGCGATAAACCAATGACGTCACGTCAAAATTGGTTCAAACCGTTTCCTATTACAATCCAATCCACGTTTTCAAACCATTTTCTCGCGCTGAAAAATTATGACGTCATGGTGTGACATTACTTGAACCACTTTTGAAAAATGTTTTTTCTAAAAGCGTGCGGAAAAGTGCACTTTTCCGCACGCATTTTAGTTTGAAAAGTTTCACTTTTCCGCACTAGTGCGGAAAAGTGACAGATGTTCAGTGGCGGCTCGTCAAAGGAGGCAGGGGAGGCTAAACCTCCCCCAAAAAATTGAAAATTCAATCTCAATTTTTTATTCCTGATTTCAAATTAAAATAATAATTAACAAATTACACTTTCCAATTTTCGATATTTCAATGTAATTTAGAAAAATCTGATAACATTATTTCAATCAATCCCGCGCCTCCACGACAAATATCTGTGAATCTGGGATACTCAGTATTACCGGCCCGAAGGGCCGGAGTTATATGCGAGCCCGAAGGGCCGGAGTTATATGCGAGCCCGAAGGGCCGGAGTTATATGCGAGCCCGAAGGGCCGGAAAAATACGAGCCCGAAGGGCTAGAGTTATTTTAATAACGGGGCCTAGTTTATAATTCTATTGGTGAGCGGATAATTTAGAGCTAATTGAAAACCGAGAGTATTTGAAATACGATTTCTAACGATCAAAGAGTCAGGAATATTCAAAAACTTTAGTTTTATCAAATTGGCTTTGGAATTTTGGTTTTCTTAAGATTTTTATTTTTTTCAGAAAACGGTGGTTTTTGCAAACATATACTACTTTATCATTGTCTTTGTCTTACTCACTATAATCAATAAGTAAACCTTTAAATGTCATTTTCATTGAAATTAAACTAAAAACAAGTTTCCTATAATTTATTTGGGAATTTTAATTATTATAATCATTATTAATTTATTATTAAATTGAATTTTGAACAAAAAACCCTTTTAAAAAGTTATTTTTGTTTTCCGAAATGAGATGTGGCAACGTTGCTTTTAGTTGGCCATTTTGAAGTGACGCCTTGTAATTTTTTGCCAGTTTTTCCTCGAATTTTTCACTTTTCCGGGGCTTTTCAATGGAAAAAGGCAATTTAACATACGAGGCTTTGAGTGTTCTTCATTTTCTAGCAAAAATGTCCAGTTTTAAAATGACATAAATAACAAAATCCCATTTAAAATGGTTTTTTTTTAAAGTTTTGATGTGGCAACACCGTTTGTACCAACTTCAAATAGGTTTTGTAATAAATGTCATTTGCCAGTTTTGACAGTCGGCAATTTTTAATTGACGTGTTTACATTTCTATTCAGTTTTTCCTCGAATTTTCCACTTTTCCAAGTCGTTTTCAGTCAAGAAACCCGATTTGAAATACGAGGCTTTGAATTTCCTACATTTTGTGCTAAAAATTCCCAGTTTTCCAATAAGGCAAGTGACAAAAACATAAATTTCATTAAGTAGGCTTTGGAATGTAATTTTTAGAGGTTTTTCTTTGAATTTGTCCGCTTTTCCAGGGCTTTTCTGGTCGGAAAATCCGATTTAAAGTACGAGGCTTTGAGTTTTCTTCATTTTCCACCAAAAATTTCCAGTGTTTTAACCTCAGACTAATAATAAAACTAGAGACCAAACATGCCATTTAGAAATCGCCCAATGTTTACAATCAATCATCTTTTAGTCCATCACATAAGTAAGAGAGAGATAGGCCTATAAAATGGCAACACTGACGCATGTGGATTTTGCCACTACCAGTGGCGGCGGGCGTGTTGTTTTAAGAAAATATAAATCAAAATAAATAAAATTATGATTTAAGTTGTAATTATAATTTATAATTTATGATTTTGAATCCTTAAAAATAAGTATGTACCTACCTATTATATTTTCATGAAGACCTAAAGCCTTCATGCAAAAAGCAGCAAATTAATTACTAGATACAATAGGTATAAATATAAAATACGCAAGTATAAGTATAAAATGTTTATTGAAAATACAAAAAATCGTCCAATTATACAAAAGTTTTTTTTACTTGATATGGAATATAAAAGCTTACTATCATACATACATATTTGATTTATATATAGGTAAGAACAAGGTATAGTCACCGCTTAACGTATAGCTTTACATTTTTTAACTATGTACTTAAAACGACCGAGTTGATTCATTAATTATAATATGTATTGATTCAGAAAAGAAACTTTAATTTGGTACAACCACTGTTTTTATTTCGCTGGTTAGTGGTTTTTGAACAAAAATGACTATTGCCTCTATAAAAAAAGGAAAGCATGCAGTCTTGTAGATCATACAGGATCAGTGAAAATCCTGCATAGTGGAGCTGTTAGCTCAGCAGTACTATTGCGGGAAGGCCATTCAGTCATCAGTGGCATTGTTAGAGTCTAGGCCTTTATGTATTCGCTTTGCTTGTGTAGTCGTTTCTGGTCCTGGCATTGAGGAAAATACTCTCAGGATAGTAGGGGCCGGGGGAGACTCTTCTTCAGGATCGATCTACAGTAGATTTTGATCCAAGCATTTCTGCGTGAAGTAGCAAGAAAACCTCAAAAATAATTGGTATTAGATTTGTTATGATCGTGATGAATAACTCAAAAAATGGACTGTATGAAAATAATTTACTGGAAAACTGGAGGACAATATAATTAAATTGACTAGTTCAACCACGTTGAGTGAAGCTAATGACAATTTCATAAAATTAGCATTGTGGCCATATTATTAATTAATGCTTGGCCTAGACAAGATTTTTGGTTTTTAATCTCTTTGCGTATTCAAATAATAATCAATAGGGAACTTTACAATTTTTTTTTATTTTTTCAAATCATTTATTTATGCCTTAAAAGAGTGTTCCCAAAATATTATTTTCTAAAACTCAATAATAACTTGGTGAAAAATGTTTAAAGTTTCGCGCGTATTAAAAGCATTTCAAACGACCTTAAATGCGCGCGAATCTGGATGACGTCACGTAGTATGATTTTGCGTCACCTTGTCGCCAAATGTTATACTTCATTGTATTTAATTTGGTTGATTTCCACATTTTCCACCGTTATTTGTTTTGTTGTTGTTTTGTGTTGCAGTGAGTTGTAAATTTTAAAGTTATAATGGAAAAAAAGATTCGCACATAAAATGTGTTTTTTTTTTTTAAAGATAAAAGTCAAAATGACATTATGTTGGCAATACAATGTAAAATTGTCAATGCTTTCAAATTTTTTATGTAGAAAAGGATTGTGTTGCCAACATAGTTACTAAATTTTTGACTTGGGGAATTATCTTTAAAAAAA